CTGTTTCATAATATCTGGATAGGCACAGTTAAATCTACCTAATACTAAACATAGTTTTGACGAATACATGCAACCTACAAAAGACGATAGGCAGATTTATATGAAGAATGAATGACGCAACGTTGTCGCTTCGTGGACTGTTTTCATTGTTTCTCAAGCAAGACGCAAGCATTTGTCATTTGTGGGCCGTAGTAGTAGGTCTTTTTGAACAAAAATTTCACCTTTAACATGAGTAAAACCGCGCTGAAAGCTAGTATTAATAACTTCCTAACTTCATCTAAAGTGAAGGTTGTGAAACAGTTTCATATTGTATCAGTAAAGTTTTAACTGAAATTGATTGTACAGGAGTTTTTAATTGAATATTACCTCAAGACCGCAACCGCTGAAAACGATAGCTTCACTAGTTTTCAGATAGTTCTAAGTGCTTTCATATTTTACAGACGCGGCTTAGATACGATGTTCTGTATGGTGATTAAACTTTTTACATTTTTGATTGTGTTGTTACAAAATTTATTTGAATTTAATCGACTAATGTCGACTAATGTCGTGGTGGCCCGGAGGTTTAAGACGCTGGCTTCTCATGCATGAGAATGCGGGTTCGAAACCTACCAACGGCAAGTACCAATGTGACTTTTTCCGAATTATATGTACTTTCTATTATTATTTAGACACCACTGACAAACGGTGAAGGAAAACATTGTGAGGAAACCTGAGCGTATTATTTCTAATTGAACAAAATTAACCCGCATTGAGCAAGCGTGGTGATTGGTGATTAATGCTCAAACCTGCTCCGTGTGAGAAGAGGCTTTGCTCAGCAGTGGGCATTTATAGGCTGTTGATGACAATCGACTACTGCGCTGCGGGTCTCAACTTGGAACAATATTTTGTCTGTGTCACAAATAGGTCATTCGAATCGTACTGTTTTTATGAATATTGTATTTGCACCAATAACACAAAGGAAATAATTTAATTCATGGTACATAATAATTTTCCCGTACAAAGTCATTGGTTTTCAATTATTTGCAAACTTAGAAAGAGAACGCAGTATGATTGTATTGCTATCCCTTTCATTTTGGGCCTGTCGTCACTGACACGTCTTTTGTTTTTTATTTAATTGCGAATATAGAAAGAGAACGCAGTATGATTTTGTTGCTATCTTTATCATTTTGTGTCTGACGTCACTGACACGTCTTTTGTTTTTTATTTAATTGCGAATATAGAAAGAGAACGCAGTATGATTTTGTTGCTATCTTTATCATTTTGTGTCTGACGTCACTGACATGTCTTTTGTTTTTTATTTAATTGGGAATATAGAAAGAGAACGCAGTATAATTTTGTTGCTATCCTTATCATATCGTGTCTGACGTCATTGACATGTCAATTGTTTTTTTATTTTGTTGTGAATTTAGAAAGAGAACTCAATATAATTATATTTGTATCCTTGTCATTTTGGGTTTGACGTCACTGATGTGTCATTTGTTTTTTAGCTGGCAACGTGAAGGAATGAAGTTGCATTTAGAAAGAGAATGCGATATGTCTTGCCTTGTCATTTTGTGTCTGACGTATTTGACGTGTCATTTGTTTTTGATGAATTGGCAACGTTGCTGTATTGGTGAAATCACGGAATATTGAATAGAAGAATAATCATGTTTTATATAGTTTTATAGTAGGAAAGCATAAAAGTCGATTTCGACCAGTTTGTCTGGAGGTCGTTAGGGGAGGCCTATGTTCAGCAGTGGATATAGGCTGATGTGATTGATGGTGTTCGTCGAATGACTGTGTGAGGTACGCAGAGTATGGAATGAGACTCAAATGCTGGTTAAGTATAGAATGTTTTTTATTTCGAAAATACGGTGCCTTATATACAAAATCCGATTCAAATTAATACATTGTAGGTACACATAAAAAGTTTAAATTACCCTACGTACGGTATTATCTGTGAGGGTGATATTCCGTTACAACTGTGAAAGTCACTGCTGAGCTGGGTTCGATTCCCTGGTCGGGCAAAGTATTAAAATTTTGTTTGTTTTATATGTTGTTGTGCGATATGTTATTAATGTTATTAGGATAATTTAGTATAGTAGATTTTTTTTTATTATGTTTTATTAATTATTGCTTGTATGTACGTTTTGTCTAAGGATATTGCTATTTAGTAAAATCGCGGGTTACTCACGTGAAAATACTGAGAAAAGCTCTACTAGTTTCGAACCACAGAGGGGTTCTTCCTCATGAGAGCGTGCGCGGTCGCGGCGTAGTCGCGCAGCTCACTGAGTGACCGCGCGACCCGCAATTTTACTTAATTTAGTATGTCTCACGATAGTTGTTATAAAAAGATATTGCTATTATTAACTTTGTTTGCATGTTTGTTTAATGTAAGTAGTCTCTATCACATTAGGTTAAACCTGTTATGATAAATGTAAGTGGGATGATAGATAAATAAATAAATATACATGACAGTACAAATTTATTTATTTCAACGGTACGCAAATGTATTAAAGAGGCGAGACTGTACCAGCAATGTATTGCCATCATAGTACACTAGGGGACAATGTGTTGGACACACAATTGTTTCTGTAAATTTTATATGAACACTAGACTCTGTGATTTATACGAGAGCCGTGGTCAGAGGGAAAGAGTCTTCAAAGAAAAATAAATATATTTTACTTAGAAATATACGTATTTATGTTAAAACTGGAATTTGTTTTACTTTTATTTTTTTGACTGCCACGTTGGTCCAGTCGCAAGTGCGACTGCCGGGCAAGGGATCTCGGGTTCGATTCCCGGGTCGGGCAAAGTATTACTGGGTTTTTTAAAAATCTCAGTAGTAGCACGGAGTCTGGAAATGTGCCCGGTATATGGCAATAGGCTCACCCCCTATTACATGGGACTCATAACATAAGTAGTGAAAAGTGGGTGTTACTTCTATGTGCACCTCTGCCTACCCCTTCGGGGATAAAAGGCGTGATGTTATGTTATGTTATGTTATGTGATTGTTACATGTCCTGCGCTAATCAGTCAAACTACCTACTAAAATTAGCTCGGCTTGCACAAACTACACATTTATTTACTTATTTTCATATGACTTCAAAAAAAGAAAAGAAAAAAGAAAAAAAAGAAAAGAAAAAAAAAGAAGTAGGTATGTATATTTGTGCGTGATTATCTCACGATTGGCTGAACCTATTTCGATCAATTTTGTTATGAGTCCTATATAGTATGGGTGATCTTATTGTCATGCTCATGTAATTACAGACTTCCTATCGTTATGGAAAAACTAGAATAGGTAATAAATATGCGTCTGACAAAGGAATCGAACACGAGACCCCTTGACAGCATACGCATTAGTGTATATTTGGCTAACCATCTAGGCATGTAGTCAAAATGTCTGTCTTACTAAATCGAAATCTCATATTTTACTATAGACAGTAAAACAATTCACCGAAAAATCACCCTAAAATCCTCACAGAATAAGCTCTTAATTCTCTCACAATCACTTATTATTTAATCACCCCAACCGGAATGGCCAAACTAAACACTTTCATGATGTTAACGTCCTATTTATTTCGGCCGACAGTGTACCCTTAACAAATTTCGGTTTTCAACTTTACTGTTTCGATATAAAGTCGAGACTTCAATGACAAATATTGACAGATTCGTGTAGGTTGAATTGCAGTACTATTATTAGAAGTACTGTGCGACACTTTGATTGCGAGTCGCGATATGCAGTAATGTGTTTGTGGATATTCCATGTTTGTATTTTATTCCTTTGTCGATTAAAAAGTGTGGGAGAGCCATGCTTCGGCACGAATGGGCCGGCTCGACCGGAGTGATACCACGGCCTCACTGAAAACCGACGTGAAGCAAAGCTTACGTTGTGTTTCGTCGTGTGAGTGAGGTTACCGGAGGCCCAATTACCCCCTCCCCCTTCCCTAATCTCCCCAATCCCCGAATATCTAACAATCCTCAAACTCCTAATCCCCAAAAGGCCAGTAATGCACTTCTAACGCCTCTGGTGTTCCAGGTGTCCATGGGTGACGCCGATTGTTTACCATCAGGTGATCCGTCTGCTCGTTTACCGACTTAAGTATGCCATAGAAAAAGAAAAAACATGAGGGGCGGTACCACCGTCCGTGAGTCACTGCAGGGTGCCACCTGAAAATCAGCGTTGAGCATGAATGTACGCTCACTCAACTATATGCTAAGGTGGAGGCCCTTTTAGCATGGGCACATTGATGTTATTTTAGCGTTTTTTCTTTTTTAATAATAGTACTTTTTAATAATAAGTAATAGTACTTTTAACTTTCTTTGTTTTTGATGTATTGTTTATGTTTTGTTATTATTTGTTGTTGTTTTCTTCTTATCTTTACCCTTTTAAGTTTATTTTACTATTTTCTATTATGTATAAATATCTGTATTTAATTTACGTACTTTGTATTTGTGTGCCTATTTGTCGAATAAATGCTTTATTTCTTTCTTTCTATTTCAGAGAATGAATGAGAATTCCTATGGCTTACTATTAATATGCTATATATCTTTGTGATGTGGCCGTACTCCTTCGAATAAATATATATATGTATAGATAAATAAATAGTTCGTTTTCGAAGACTACTAAAGCTGAAGAAAGACACTAAAGCTGAACCGTGAAAGACAGCACAGTTAGCGCGGTGGCTGGGCAACTGGCTGCCATGCAACGCGCAAATTCCCGTACAGAACAACTCTTTGTGTTGTTTTCTCTTGATCGTTGTTCCGGGTCTAGGTGTCACGTGTATGCGAACTTGTATGTTTGTAAACGCACCCACGATACAGGACAAAATCATAGTGTGGGGCAACTTTTTTAAAATAAATGGCTATCGAATTTTGTATGCACATGAGTAGGTACCATAGTCATTATAATCAGCCGAAAATCACAGGTTTGGACTATTATTAAAGTTACACCTAGTGTCATCTGATGCAATAACTTACACCCCATAATGAATCTTATGACAAACACAATAGAGTCTCACCTGCATATTACAGATCTTGTACCGCACTGGCTCGCCCCTGCAGCCGGCTGGTGATGAACAGGTTCGAAGCTGCCTGGACACGCCGCCATCACATGTACGTGAGCATAGTGACCATTCACTCCACTGTGACCAGCCACCTCGATCCTGGAGAGGAGATTTACTTATTAAATAACTAGCTTTTACCCGCGGCTTCGCTCGCGTCACAAAGGATAAAAGATAAAAAGCCAATGTGACATATACCAATACACACAGCGCCATACTTTACGCAATACTTTTGTTTTCCCTCGGGAATATCAAATTTTTCAGGGATAAAAAGTACCCTATTATTCACCGTGTGAGAAGAGACCTTTAGTTTTGTTTATTAGTTTTTTAACTAACTACATATATTTTTAAATAAACTAAAAATAAATATATCATTATTCTTGATATTTTGCATTATTTCCGTAGAATGGGTGTACAGTCAACAGCAGGAGTGATCGGCTGTCGAAGTACAGTCAACTATAATGGCAAACTATGTGACAGCGCGACCTATGATTATACGGGCCGCGATTGTGATCACAACCGCTAGCTTTTGTTTCATTATGGCATTTTTTATGGTGAAAAAGAGTAATCTATGGAGTTTCTTGCTCTTCTCCATAGGAATCTACACCTTGGAATGACGTTCTCCGGTCACCGTAAGCGCGGGCCTACGGACGGCAAGCATGGGTGGCTCCCCGTCCGACCAGAAACAGACCCGAGCGTACGGCGCGTCGCGTTCCACGCGCGCCTCAAAGAGCCATCAGACCACCACAGTTGGGACCCAACAGGGCCGATGCCGATTCGGAGTCGCGGAGAACCTAACGGGTAACCGGGGCTCCGGCTCAACGTGCAGGAGAAGGAACGGGGTGGTTTTTACTCAGTAAGAGTCTGACACTAAGGGCGGGAGCGGTGATGCGATGATTTTCACCCCTTAAAAAAACATCTTGAAATGAGCAAATAGCTTCACTTTTAAATTTTTTTGTTGAACTTCAAAAGCTGCCTTCTTGGTCTAATTACAATTCGATTTTGACTTTGCCTTGTGATTTAACACTGTACAGTTTTGGCTTGTTTCCTGCTTTCTTACGTTACGTGAAATAAAATTATATTGAAAATGATTCAGCTATCAGACCAGTCTTTCAAGAATTATTATACTCTTAGGGCTGCTAATACCAATTTCAGTAACACAGTTACTAGAACCGAAACGTCCAAACCAATGTAACCACACGGAATAGAATTCAATGCAATAAAATTCTATTCCATAAACCGAGTTGATTTTTTTATTGAGACAACTTTATTTCTGTTATAAATTTTTTGCACAAAAACAGCGTTTCGAACCGCAACCAACGAGCGTATGTTTTCATAATTTGGCCGGATTACTCGGATCGGAAAATTCGATAAAACCGGCCATTCCCAGTAACGATATTGACATGCTACTGCAGATTCTGTTAAATCCCTCCGCACCACTGTGCACCTCTCAATAAGCTTCGAGCACACAAAAAGCATTCAGTTCCAAGTATTTTTCGTCGTTTTAGAGTCGATTTTCGTGTACACACTTTGATAAAACAAACGAATTCAATCTTCTAGGAGAATAGTGCAAATATTTGTCATCTGTGTTCTTGAATATTCGGCTGTTCAGGGAATATTTTTGTAAAGCATTAGTGCATAGCGGGAGAATTTGAATTTTTAACTTTATTCGTTACGATGTAAGGACTAAAATTGTTATATTTAACACACACACACATGAGTCATTATAAAGTATGCAACATGGGTTGAATAGGGTTGAAAATATTTAATGCTAGTAGTCTCCGCTGTATGAAGGGGCGCTTGTCACAATGCTCTTGATTGATAGACAGCTTAGAGATTGCAGTCATCATCATCATAAGTGGCCACTGCTGACCAAAGGCCTCTTCTCACATAGAGGTTTCAGCATCAATCACCACGCTTGCTCAATGCGGGTTGGCAATATGAAACATATAATTTGAAATTTAAGCCCAGGTGTCCTCAGGATGTTTTCTTTCACCGTTTGTCAGTGGTGTCTGAATAATCTTAGAAAGTACATTTAACTCGGATAAAGTCACATTGGTACTTGCCGTTAGTAGGTTTCGAACCCGCGCCCTCATGCATGATAAGCGGGCGTCTTAAACCTCCAGGCCACCACGACTTGCATAAGGAGTTACTAATTCATTGCCGCTACCATCGTCATTGCGGGGGTATTTTGAAGCATTGTTATCTAAATTTGTTAATTCGACTGTATGTATTTAATACGTGGACGTTGCCTACCGTGTTACTAGGTACGTAGGGAGCTCTGAAACCGTAACAAAACTATCGGATATCCGATATAAAAAAATATCCGTAGCCGAAACCGAATCCGAAATAAAAGTATCGGATACTATCGGATAGGGGCGTGACGTATAAATGAAACCATTATATTAGCTATTTGTATTTGACTTCTGAAATTCCTTAAAATTATAATATCCGTAACTGAAATTATCCAAAACTAGGACGGGCAAGGGGTCTCGGGTTCAATTCCCGGGCCGAGCAAAGTATTACTGGGCTTTTTCAAAATTCTTCTTCTTCAGTAGTAGCACGGAATCTGGAATTGTGCCCGGTATATGGCAATAGGCTCACCCCCTATTACATGGGACTCATAACATAAATAGTGAAAAGTGGGTGTTACATTGTACAGTGGCATTAAGTGCCGTAATGTGCACCTCTGCCTACCCCTTCGGGCCTTCGGGGATAAAAGGCGTGATGTTATGTTATGTAAAAATGAGACATTAAAACATACCTACTTAATTAATTATTACGCGCCGCCTCGCGTGTCGCGGAATGATGTTATGTAGCTCCAAAAAAGGAACCACCGATATCAAAAACAATATCAAAATATATACATAGCTCCCAATAATATAACAATAGCCAAGTTAACACACGATTCCCATATCCATCAACCGTCCACACCCACAGCAACAACCCATTATAAAACCTAATACGTACGTGTTTAGGCTGACTTCAGAATGTCACCTACAATGTCATGTGGTGGGCGCCATGACAGACAGTGTTTTAAGCTTAATATTACGTTCATTGTTCATTCTGATCAAGTCATGAGTATCAACGGAGTGGGAAATTGAGTTTTTTTAAACAGTGCGTGGTTATGAAGTGGATAATGCAGATTTTTGTTTATTATGTGACTGTTTACGTTGCGTTCGGATTGATCTCATGAACAGTGATGAAATATAAATGAAAATCTTCTCTAGAGGATCATTAAACTGTCAAACACCGCGTGGACACCGGTGACCGCAACCTATTGTTCTTTAATTGTGTCTATAATGACGGTACTCAAAGGGTTAATCGGAACAAGAATGATTTTGTGATGTGATGTGGCTAATTCTTTCGATTGTACACTTTTCGGGTCATGATGCGGAGCGAGGGGGACTGGGATGCCGTCTCCTCCTTTTGCGAAGAAGTCATGCTAGCTAAAGAGGAGGCGGGACGTATGAGGCAGCGATCCAGCCGTCGCGAAAGACACTGCGGGCGTCGGGGATCACGGGACGATCTCCGGCCATCGTAAGCGTGGGCCTGCGGACGGTGAGCATGTGTGGCTCGCCGCCCGACCGAACCTAACGGGTTACCGGAGCTCCAGCTCGGGTCTGACACTCCCTCCCGACTCACCCAGGTGGGAGCAGTCATTCGATGATTTTCCCCCTAAATAAAAAAACACTTTGTTTGGATTGGACATGTCCGCCAACACTGCGCACTTGAATTATTGGCTTGTTTTAGTTTTAGTTTTATAATTTAACTTTTATCTTTTAATATTTCTGTTTTTATACTTTTTTTATATTTATATGTCTTTTCTGGCGTGCATGTCTTATGCCGAATAAACTTATTTCATTTCATCATTTAATTTTATTTCATTCATTTCATTTCATTTCATTTCATTTCATTTCATTTCATTTCATTTCATTTCATTTCATTTCATTTCATTTCATTTCATTCATTTCATCTCATTTCATTTCATTTTTTTGAAGTTTAATGGTTGAATTTACGAACAGGTGAACTGATTTGGGTGTGGTCTTCAGAAAAGTGTTTGTTACACTTAGGAGAAGGTTATATAATATTAATTAATCAACTTAAGAGGGATTAAAGTCGGTATTTTTAAATGTAGTTTGTAATGAACAACTTTATGCTAGAATAGAGCAGCTACAGTAATTTACAATTTTTATTATGGGATAAGCCGGTAAACGAACACGCGGATCACATGATGATAAGGAATCAGCGTATCATGGACAACTAGTACTTCAGAGGTGTTACAAGTTCGTTGCCGGCCTTTTGGGATTAGGAATTTGAAGATTGTTGTGGAGTCAGGGATTAGGGAAGGGGGGGGGATAGTAATTGGACCACCGGTAACCTCAATCACAAGACGAAACTCAACGCAAGCGATTGTTTCACGTCACTATTGACACATTTAGGTACTTTCTATTTGAACCAATTGAAAGAACTACAATGAGAACCAGTACTTTAAGGTCTGATCCTCAATGTATGATACCACCAATTATTGAAATCCCAAAAATCAATAAACACGTCTACTCCCAAGCAAGCTGAGAACTTTAAATAAACTAGTAATATGACCTTTTGGAAATAAACCACAAGCAACCACAAACTATATTAAGAACATGACGTCATCACTGAAATTAATTATAGAAGTACTATACTCATAATATAATCGATACTAATATTATAAATATGAAAGTGTGTATGTTTGTTTATCCGTCTTTCACGGCAATACGGGACGACGAGAGAGTTGAAGGGATTGAGAGTGATATAGGCTACATTTCATCTCTTTTTAACTCTTCACTTCCTTAAAATGGGTGCTGGAAGTTTGTATGGATAATTTTGAATTGTTTTTTTATGGCATAAGCCGGTAAACTAGCAGACGGATCACCTGATAGTAAGCAATCGGGTTGTCCATGAACACCTGGAACACCAGAAGAGGCGTTACAAGTGCGTTACCTTAAGGTCCTTACGGTCCTTACGGTCTTTTGGGATAAAGAGTTTGAGTATTTTAAGGGATTCGGAGATTGGGGAGATTGGGGAGGGGGGGATGGGTCCGGTAACCTCACACACACGAT